CCCTGCCCCAGCCTTTGCCCTCAGCTGGAGGGGCTGGGTAGGGCCACCTGCACCCCTCCTCCCCAAGCCCCGCAGTGAACTGCTGGCTCTCAGCTTTCCCAGGGGCTCGTTTAATGGGAGAGGTTTTCTAACAGATCCAACCCAGGCTCTCAACAGGCACCGTGCCTTCTGGGATGCTGGGTGAGATCTGCAAAGGGACATCCCTGTCACCTTCAGCCTCTACTCCTCGGCAGGCTGCCGGATTCGCACAGCTTAGACTAACGAAGTATGACTGTCCTCAAACCTTACTAGCTCCGATTCCTCACTCAGTTCCGAGGCAGAGCCTGGATAACTATGTACGTTGAGCAGAAGAATCTTATTAAAATACAACAACGCCGTACACCGTAACCATCCCAGCTTCCATCACCACAGGAGCGGTTTCTTGCCAAAGGTCATGTCATGCTAGTATTTTTGTAACAGGGGACACTTCTACTCAGCAGGATGTCTAACTCCAGACACAAATCATCCCAACTGAGCTACCGAAGCCAACAATGAATGCCTAAATGATGAAGTGATGCCCGCTGTTCTTCTGAGTCTAGGCAGATGGCAATGTGCAGAAATACTTCTATAGAAAAGTAATCTGTGCTACTAAATACCCTGCAAGTCATAGGTGAGAACAAAACTGTTCTGATTATCAAGCCTGAATTTCATTCCAGCCCGCAGAGTATTGAACAGTTTTCTCTTTCACCCTGTTTCTGAAAATCTCAGATTATGTGAGAAGCAAAAATTTTATTAAAAGCTGAGCAATTCCTTATGTTTGCAGGGAGGAACTTGGAAATGTGCACCCTCATAGGTCAGCAGCAAACCAGCAAATTGAAAGAGCTATGATTTGTCATTTTTCCTTTTTTTTTTTTTTATTCCTGTTATTTGAAAGTGAATTCTGCGACTAATAATTTTGAACTGTTTGGACTTGCCACGGTGCCAAGTATGTGTGGCAAATGTTTGCAGGATTGAGACCATTAGCTGAATTAGTGGTCCGTTCTGACACATTGTTTTGCCTGCCTGCCTGAGACAAATAGAGAAATAAAGTAAGTACGATGAATAACCTAGCCAAATGTCAGCATTGTAGAGCCAAATTCATCTTGGTGGCCACTTATGGGACAGCTGGATGTGAAAGCAGAATCCCTCAGAGGGCGTTTAATGTAATGTTATGAGCAGAAGTAATTCAGATTAGTCATGGTGCTGCATTGGGCCATCAATAAACTGTATGTACTGCAGAAAAGCATTTCCTCATCTTTATCCACCGTCATCCACATTCTCACTTGGAAAGTGTTAAGCTACTGTATTGAGTTATTCAGATTGTTACTCAAATAAAAAAGAGGCATTTGCTGCCTTGGCCACTGGTATTTTATCAGCCAGTAGCAGTCTCCTCATAACTTAATCAAACCAAAGGCCGTGCTAAGGAGAAATCCTCTATATTGAAGTGAAAAGAAAATGACCCTGCTATGTTCAGAAACTTCCCCTAGTCCTAGAAACCTCCAAAGGGAAGGGCTATTACATCAAAATAGTACTCCAGTATTTCAAAATTAGGGTGATCTAACTACAATTTAAAAATGAATTTTAGTTATTTTTTATTTTGTTCTTTGCTTCACTATAACAAAATAACTGCTGGAGATGTTCATTTGCTTTTCCCTCTGCATGAAGAAAGCTTTTTGGGCAATGTGGAGGTGTACAGTACTTTAAATCAGGTTTCATTTTCTGAGGAGAGAAGAGGAACCAGTTAATAGGCAGAGAGGCTTCCTTTTTGTTTCAGCGATAACAGACATGAACCTCGCAAGCAAATGGGCAACCCATGAACTAGACATGGAGCTGTAAGGCCTGGGTGCCTACAAGATAAACACTACCACCACCTACTAATTGCAATGGAGGGCTGTGGATAGAGAGGAAGAATCTACTTGTTCACATTTTCATGGGTTGCCTCTTGTTCCCAGTGGAGAAGAGCACAACAAAGAAAGAGGAACTGGATGGTCTTCTCCATCTCCGCCCTGCTTGGCTGGAAGAAGGCGGCCATGTAGCATGAGGAGCAGCCCAGTCCCTCCTAATGAAAAGAGCGGAGTAGATCGCAAAGAGCAACCCTGGGAGCAATTGCTTCTTCCAAGTGGATGGAGCCGATGGCTCCCTCGGGTGCCTTGGCACAGGGCAGTGCAGCTCAGAGCTGGGCACAGCTACCATATAAAATCATAAAAGTCTCGTCGGCAGCTGCAGCAGTTGTGTACATGGGATAATAATATTAGAAAGGACTGACAATGACGTTGTAGCTTTTACTGTGACTTAGCAGCTCAATACAAGAAGCAGCACCGTCTCAGTGTGATAACCAGCTCTCTCCCAAGAACAGCTGCTCCGTATTGTAAAAATTGTGTTTGCAGTAATAGCCCAGACTTCTCAAGGCCTGGGATTCCTCACATGAGCAAAGGGTCCTAATTTGCCCCTTTTCACTGGTTTTACACTGGTCTGTCCCCACTGACAGTGGAGTTGTTTCTTACAGCTTTTGACACTTATATCCAGGTTTGGGTACAGCATCTGCTTGGGCGGCAGCCGAATCCCACCGCTACTGGTGCAAGGAAGAAGGTTACAAAACTGCCTCCTGCTACTGGGTGATTCTTTCTTTATTTTTTATTGTTTACATGGGCAAGGCAGATTGCAGGCCTGTTTAAGGCACTGAGCTGACAGCCACTTGTGTCCGTGCTAGGCAGCTGGGAGCAGCGTGGGTACCACAAACTGATGTTAAGGTTGCCAAATGTAGGAGGGAACTGTGCTAGCCTCTTTTCTGTGAAGACACAGAGGCAAAATGCTGGAAGTCAAAACTGTCACCATTGGCAAACTGAGCTCGAGCTCATTCAGAAACACTGCATCATTTAATGCAGTGACTAGCAACTTCCTACTGGGTTAGAGTCTGGTATTTAATCTTCTCAACAGATTCACTAAGTACAGGAAAGCAGCTGGAGATATTTTCGTACACAGGGGAAGATGCTTTTTCTGTATATTAATGAGAAAATAGGATTCTCACTATGGTATTGCTGTTGCCTCAACATGCCGTAGTTGAACACTCGTGCTCAAGGCTACAAGAATTAAGTGGCTTTGGTCCCCCTGAAGTAAAAGCCGACG